CCCCCCACTCCCCCGATTGAATTATGAAGACAAAAAAAAGCCCAAAACAAAACAACATCAACAAACAAAAGCATCAACAGACAGACAGATTTGAAATTCAATGGACATCATGGACTCAACTTGAACTTGAAGATCTGGACTTTGCAGATGATCTCTTACTTCTTTACTTCCCCTCTGTTGTTTCTGACTGTCTTTATACTTTCCCCAGTACTAAATGACCATTATTTTAATATTATGTTGATGTGTTTTTATTTGCTCAAACAAAACAAAGCAGATGATCTTGTTATTAAATTCTTTCTTTATTTTCACACTCACTTGTGTGTATGTCTGTGTGTGTGTGTGTGTGTGTGTGTGTGTGTGTGTGTGTGTGTGTGTGTGTGAGTGAGTGTGTGTGTGTGACTAATGAGTGTGTGTTTGCTTGAGATATTTCAAAAGTTTTTGTAGGTGTTTTTAATTCTCGATCAACACAATTTAGAATCTAGATCTAGATTTCTAGATCATTTTAGGAGACATGCTGTGGCCCTGCTGTAAGTTGGGCCAACCCAGACTCCGAGTGCGGTACAAAGTTCCGGTGCAAAAGAATTCCAATGGGACGATTCTTCATAAAAGGTGAACACCAATGATCACGGGCCCACAGAGACAAAGCACGGGTGAAGCAAGAAAAAATGGGGGGAAAATGTGTTACCCGGCCTCCATTAACTTTTACTTCTACGGCATTTCGTCCTTCTTAAGATAATTTCCTGGGCTCTTTTGAAATTTGTAGCTAACCATGGATAGTAGGCTACTATGTTTCGACAATATTTTCCAAAGTTAAATTCATTTATACCCCCTCCTCCACCTGCCGCCCATTATTTATACTTGTACGCCTTCCTGTGCATTGTGATTCGAGAAAATCGATAGGCGTATGTTCGTTTATCACTTTACACAAACTTAGGAGTTTAGGTTGTCAGACTGTAATCTAAGCTTGCATCATCCTGCTATTCATTTATCGGGGCAGCCTTGCAAATCAATAAAGCCAAATTACTAATGTGCTGTTAGCTTGCACAGCTGTAAATTTCGACCAATGGCTGGAGGCTCGCCGACGCTCGACGGTCGAATTACGTTTTCGCTATCCTCGATCCGAAGTCGGTGAAGTCAACACAGTCCCAGTCTCACCAAAGCACGACCTAGGCCTACTACTTTATCTTAATACTCCCCCCC